GGGCGCCAGGGAGTCAGGACTATGGTCTTACGCAGAACATGGTACCAGGTTTGGTGGGAGACCCAGGAAGTGAGCACAGTGGGATGGGATACCAGGACAGCCTATGGGGCTCCGTGGCTGTGGAATTGGGAGGATTACACATGGAGCCAAAGAAGAACCAGAACGTCTTTTTTTTTTTTAAGGAACAGGGTATCCATGGAGACGTGCACATGTTGGTTGAATTTATCTGAAGCTGGTTACACAAATGATGATAATGAAACTTGTGTTGATTGCTTACTCTGGGCCAGGTACTATGCTGAATGCTCTTACATTCATTACGTCATTTATTTCCGTTTTATAGATGAGGAACCTTAGGCAAAAGAGGTAAAGTAAGATGTCCAAAGAACCAAAGATAGTGAGGGGCACCTAATGTGCCAATCCAGGTGTCTGATTCCAGACCATAAATTCTTATCAAAATCAAGCTGAAAGTTGAGAAGGAAAAACATTCTTCTATTAACTGTGTCAACAGATGCTGAAATGGAAAAAGAATATTCTACTTTTGTTTATTGTGTAAACAAAGTTATCTGCTAGTTTTCTGTATAGGTTATGTGCTCTTGTTCTGCTTTTTTAAATTCCCAACACCTGTTTTTAGAAAGGCTTGAAATCTTTACATGAGTTTAAAACATTAGAGTGATTTCTCATCTAGGAGTAATAATAACTGCAGTTTTCCCTCTAGACTGCTACAGAGTCATTCTAGCTGGTATTTGACAGTTTTATTTTGATTGGACTACAGGTGTAGGAAATACTCTATGCAAACCACAAGCATAGTAATTTGTGGTACTCTTGGTGTCATGGTGCCTTATGTAAAATAGAAATGCTCATTTCAAATACATAATCTATGGCAATAGATACAGAAACAGCACTTGACTCTGCGACCCCTCCATGCTTGGAAATCTTAATGAGGATGGTGTCCACAGCTTCTGCAAGCAGGGTTAATTAACTCTGAGAAGTTCGCTTTCTCCTGGCAACAGGATTTTTTTTCAAGTAAGTCAAAAGCTAACTTGCAACTGAGTAATATTTCCAAAACTAGTAAGTATCATGATATAAGGCAATTATAGAATATAGATTTCTAATAAAATAGTGTTTGATTTTCAAAGTTACTAAGTGGGTAAGATGGATGAAATGATTGTTAAACTGTGCTAAGGCTCTCTTTACAAAAGGTTGAACATTTCTATTAGACCAATCAGCTAATTAATTACTTCGGGAACAGTTTACTCTTTCCTCTTGAGATTATCTTATTAGATGATTAAAGTGAGAAATGTGAATAAAAGATGATCAATGTTTTTCTTAATTTCCTTCAGTTGAAGGATGTGAAAAGAGGCCTTTTTCTTTTTCAGCCTTGCCTTACACCCTGATAAAACTCTCGTTGCAACTGGCCAAGTTGGGAAGGAGCCATATATATGTATATGGGATTCCTATAATGTCCAGACTGTGTCTATTCTTAAAGATGTCCATACACATGGAGTTGCCTGCCTGGCCTTCGACTCAGATGGACAGGTGTGTATCTTTTTCCATTTTTATTTTCTTTAAGGACTTCTCACAAGTCACCTAGAATTATAATACACATAGTCTACAGGCCCAGGAAGTCTGTCAACCCTTGCTGTCTCCCCTTGTCAGCCTCCTGGAATCCTCACCTGTTTGTCCTTTTCCAAGCTCATGGCACTGACACCCAGCTCTGGCCTAGTTTTGGTTCCCCCAGTCTCACCATCTGTTTTAAAAGCCCCCGGAAAGGAAGTCTTGAACCCATGCTGATTGAGTCCATAGTGATTCAGTGAGTCTACCTTGTTTTCCATTGTTAGTTTTTCCATTTGGAATAAGGGTTGAACCAAAACTTTTTCAGAGACCTCAAGCCCCGAACATCTTCTCGGTTCCCCTTGCTTTCAGAACATAGTATCATCTCCTAATAATCCATTGGTAAGATTTTCTTTGACTCTTTAACCTTGAGGTGACTTCTAATCCTCCCTGCCCAGTCCCCGCAGTTCAAGCAGTCACTGATTCACGTTTATCTATTCGTTTCTTTACAATAACTCTGGACTTCCATATTTTCCCTCCCATTCTCTCTGCCATCATCCTTTAAGTTCCATATCTGTGTTATGCCTAACAGTTTAACCTCTTAACAAATCTCCTCACAGTCAATTTTTTTACTAGCGCATTTCACCAACTGAAAGAAGTGTCAGCATTGTTTAAAAACAAGAGAAGCTTGGGGTACCCACTGAATGGAGTACACACCGTGTGGCTCGGCATTCTAGGCCAACCAACTTTTCCAGCCTTATTGTCACTATTCCCTTGCAGTGAAATTGGACGAGTCAGTGAGATTCCTCTACCAGACCTGGCACTTTGGCACCTCCAGACCCTTTTTCGTGCTGCCCTCTCTACCTCCAGTGCCATAGTCACCCTTGTTGCCCCTTAAAGTGATTCCTTCTTCCAAGACACTACAAAGGTCTTCATGAATTCTTCCCAGTGCCCCCCATCCAACAAAGGATCTCTTTCCTTGGACGTCCAGCAACACTTGATAGAAAAGATTTGTTAGTATGTTACAGATAATCATTTATATCTCAATTAAAAAATGTTATAGAGAAGGGAGTGGAAACCTAGATGCAACATTTCTGGTTCCCCCTGAGTTCACCTCCTCACTAAGGCCATGCCATTTCTCCCTGGCCTTCTCCATGTGCCTAGGACACCCTTCCTCTGTCTCTTTCACCCTCCCTATTCCTGCCTAATAACTCCTTCAGTCTATTTTTTAAGTAAATTTCAGAGTTAATTCTGTAAATCTATGTTATGGAAAGGCCTGTGAAATTATGCATAGAAGCTTGACGAGATGGGGAGTTTGCAGGAAGTTCAGCAGATTATAGACCTTGGCCTGGTTTGAATCACTTTTTAAACAATGAACATTTATGTGGTATTTTTTTTGCTGCTTTGAGAGAGTAGTGATCATTAGCTATTCATTTTTCTGTCTAGAACTTGAATACGTATGTAGATCCCTGGTATATACGTTTTTGATTTAACTACCCTGTAATCTCATCCAGTTTAGCCAAGGTAATCCGTAAGTTACGTTGTATATCCAGGCCTAAAGAAAAATAGCTAGGTAGTGATACTTACTCAGATTTGCAGTTAATGACTTCCTGACTAAGTTGAATGACTGTCAGAATGGATATGCAAGGACAAGTGTAAATGTGTGTTTAGATGTGTACTAACGTGCACACTCTCAAATCTGATTTTGTTTTCTAGCAAACATCCCTTTATCAAAACTTGTTCTCTGAAGCATCACGAGAAATATAATACTGGAGAGGGAAATCCAGCTGTAACTTTTAGTTCTTTTGTCCATATTATTTTGTGTTAGAATTCTAGCAATTTTTTTAGGTTCCATTTTGAAGGTGGAGGTAGGGATGGACTGCATGGTACTTTCTCAGCTGTCAGTTGAGGAAAAATAACCTCCTATTTGCTGTGATGGATTTCATGGCTTGTTGATGCCTGTTGCTTCAGATCTGCCTTTTTCCCTGGACAGAGTTCACTGGGATCCAGCGATATTTAGAAAATGACAAATGGCCCATCACCTCACAAGCAACAAAAGGCAATAGAAATGCTTTTCAGGTAGCAATGGGGCCTGTCACTGCAAATGAACAAAATAGATTTGTTTTGGCTTTTTCTTCATCTTTTTAACATATCTCATGTGGTTTTAACTTGAGTGCCCATGTTTATGTTAACTGCTTTTTCTGTTTAAAAAAAAAAGAGAAAAGAAAAAAACTGAATAGAATTCAGAATTCACCCACTTCAAATTCCTGTATATGTATAAAAATACAACCATGTCTTATAAGCATGTCCATTGCTGGAACCCTCAATTAAAATTACAGCAAAGACGACCTTAAGGGCACATTTTAAAACGCCAGCTATGTATTTTTTACACGAAGTATTCCTAACAGAAGCCACCTTTAATGAAGGAAGCTGGATAATCCCTGCATAACAACACATGGACATTGAGCCATAGCTACTGGCTGGCATTCGTGTATACACATACACACAGACATACTCAGTGAAATACGTAAGCTCACATACTTTTATACTTGGGTAGTAATATGTTTTTAAAACCCTTTGATTTACATTATTTCACTGATCCATACAACAGTGCTACTTTGTAGACAGGAAAAAATAATACACACTAATCTCAGATGAAAAAACAGATTTAAGGAGTTAATTTTCTGTAGTCTTATGTCTGACTACTCAAAGTGAAAAGAGAAGCCAAATCTACTTACCCCCAGCCGACACCTCTGTCTATTACATAGTGCTGTTTTCTTAGAGTGGCATGCTGCTTGAACCTCTGATTTTATGCCCCAAATATGTGTTTTAACCCTGTTGATTCTGTATTTAGTCAGGTGTTGAATTTTCTTCTCCCTTTGAGGACAAGTTCTGATCTGAATCCAAAGAATTTAGACTGGAAGATGAAGTAGCAGATTACTTTTACTAAAATTAGGTATCTTGTAGTCAGCTTCAAATATTTGTAAAACTATGACGATTAAGAAGAATGAAGTGTTCACTTACGGGATTTCTTCTCCGTATGTTTGTCAAACCCTTTCATTTTAACAGTTTGGTGAGTCTTTTTAGACTATAGAATCCTCAGCTCTCTTAAAACCACATTAAAATCTTAAAAAATTGAAACCCTACCTTCAAGTTCTGTTCCTGTGATTTCCACTGATTAATCAGTGACCTCATGAGATTTTGCACACAGGTTTCCTATGTTTAAGAAGGACACATTAGGTGTAGGTTTTAAGTTGTTACATTTCAGTATATGCTAATGGAATAATGTCTACTGTGATACCTTTAGTTTTGGATTTAAGATGAATTTTGAGAAATCTTTCTTTTATAAGAAATTCAATGCCTGGCCGATAGTGGGTAATAAGAACCATTTATTAAAAATGGCATGAATAATAGGAAGTCTTCCCGTAATTTTCAGGTATTAAATTACTGTTCTTCTTCTTAGCGTTTAGCCTCTGTGGGATTGGATGCCAAAAACACAGTCTGCATTTGGGACTGGAGGAAGGGAAAACTTCTGGCGTCAGCCACTGGCCACTCTGACCGGGTAAGAAGACCTTGTTGGATCAAGCCAAACAGATTTCATAACTGTGGGAGAATTGTGACATAGCTTCTCAGAGCCGTAATATTTTTTAAAGTTACTTTGCCACATGTATATTTTTCCTCTGCATTCAAATTAAAACCTTACTGTTTATAAAGATTAATTTACGATTAGTAGCTCTGTTGGCGTGATCTCTTCCGGTGATCAGATGCTTTACTTAAATTGTTACTGCGTTTCATAGGCTAAACAAATTTTTGATACTGGCCTTTGGCTTTATAAAATAAAAAAAGAAGTGAATTTGAAGTTATATGTACAGTTTAGGTGTATTCATTTAGAAATGGAAGTAGTCAGAAAATAATATTCAAAGTATGTTTACAAGTGTATGCATTTGAATTTCAAATGAATGTAATGACAGCTGTGATTCTGTAATATCTGAGAACCTGGAATGTGAATTGTCGACTGCTTACTGTTCATATTGAAGTCAGTGGCATCAGAAATAAACACCTGTAGCCATAGCCGGCAAAATAGTGTAGGAAGCAGGCATGTGCATTAGCTGGTCAGAAATCTACTTCTCCGGTGTCTGGCATAATTAAAATAATGTGGCTACTTTACTGTCTTGATTTTCTAATTTAAAAAAAAAAGGAATCTGTGTGACTATCTTACATTGATTACTCATTGTTTTGTATTTATGCACAATGTAACTCCATGCAGAACAAGGCCCTAATTATTAAATTCTCAGCCTCTTGTTTGGTGTGAAATCTTAAAGATTTTTTTTTATGTGAATGGTACATTCATCTAGGGAGAATCTTCATTTTAAGGGGACTGCATACTGTTGCTCCACATTTGGGCCAATTGTATTCGGGGATTAAGTCTTCAGAAAGTCCAGGAGTGACCAGCAATGGAACTTTAGTGTTGGAAGAGGCCTGGCATCCCTCTGGCCCAATGCTTCCTACGTCTGGCTACATATAACAATCTCCTAGGCAGGTTTTACAGCATAGCAATGCTCAGGCTTTACTCCCAGGTATTGATATTAACTTATTGCTATTTAATTAGTGTTAACTTAGTAGTTAATAAATAGGTTAAAATATTTGTGATGTTTATAGTTTGGATATTACTGTTTCTGCTTATGCTATGATCCTATTACGTTTATATAAAGTCAGTTGAATTGGACTGGATCAATACGTGTATTTCCTATTGCTTTGTTAATGTACTGTATACTTTCCAGTTAGCTAAGAGTAGATTATAAGTAGTGTTATCTAGTGAGAACTCTTTAATTTTAAGGGCCTAGAATGTTTTAATGAAATACTGTTTTTAGAGCACTGTTCTCCTAGACCACATAATTTGTATCACACATAGGTTTGCTCTTCATTACAGATGCCAGTATAGATTATTATTGGCTGCTTATGGGCAAATACTTATTTCAAGATTATTTTAGTGGCTGAAATACTTAATCCCTAGCACTAATTTGTAGAATGAGTGCTTTGTAGCCTACAAAATGATCGTACATACGTTATCTTAGTTGACCTCACAACAGAACTGAGGTAGTGTCATTTATTCATTTTCTAGAAAATGGGGTTGAGAGATGCTAAGACTTGTCTGAGCTGGTACAGCTGAAATGGGTACTTGCACCATATTAGTACTTAGTCCTTAGACCAAGTATTCTTTCTTCAGTGCTCTTTCTGTGGTCCACAAATATTCCTTTCTACCTAACCAGAGGTTATAGGACCTTTCTCTGATGTTTGGAGCAATAGCTCCTTCCTTATGTGATGAGAAGTTAGCAGCCTAAGCTCTTTCTTTGGTCTAGTTTCTGTCCCTGACAATTGATCCTTTCTATTAGAAGTTCAAAGAATATAGTCCATCAACCATCTGCATCAGAATCTCCTGGAGTGTGTTTTAAAATGCATGTGTCTAGACCCAATTTCAGATCCACTAAATCAAAATCTCCGACAATGACCAGGGGAAATATGCACTTTAAACAATTGTCATTCTTTTTATTTTCATTGTAAAACTCTCTCAAAATGTGTTATTAGCATTGTGGAGAGCTACAGAAAATTTGATCGAAAGAATTATCCCAAATCATTACAATTTGTTTCTCCTGGATGGACAAAGTTAAAAAATTTGACACCAGTTCTCAATGATTGTGCTTAATTATTACTTCTCTGTTCAGGCCTGAGGTAAGTAGACAGAAGGGGATAAAACATGCATTAGCAATTCTTGACTCATCTCCAGAACCAAATCTTCCGTTTTTCATTCAGTGCAGGTAACGTTGTGTTATGAGTATTAGGGTAGAGTCTTGGCAATGGGACAGTATCTGAAAGAAGGCAAAAACATGTAAATATGATCAACAGAACAACTTGTAATCTTTTTTAAACAGATTTTTGATATTTCCTGGGATCCATATCAGCCAAACAGAGTGGTTAGCTGTGGAGTAAAACATATAAAGGTAAAGTAGTTATTTCTTTAAAATTTTTGACACCTTGTATGGAAATAATTTTGAATGTTTATATATATGTAATCTGGTGTTGAGAAACGCCTTGACTTTTCATTTTTTTTTCCCCTTAAAGTTAGAGGCTTCTTACCTGTATCTCTGCTCTTGAAGCAATCTTACATCAGCTGATGGGCCTCCTTCAGAAATGCAATGTAACAACAATCAAATCAAGTGTCCAGCAGGCAGCTGGAAAGGAAGCTTTATGCTAATTAAATGCTACATGGAAGACTCATAATACCTTTAGGATTGCATGCTTTGAAACAGTTCTGATTTTAATTTTGTGAATTAAGTTCTTATATTGTGATGAATATTTACACATTTGGCATGTCAAAACTTTTTGACATGTTGAAATGTTCTCTTAGAAGAAAGGTGCCATGTTGTGTTGGACACAGAAGGAGAGGGGTGCATAGCACAAACCTACCTGAGCCATTTTTAAATGCCTCTCTTCCTCTAGACAACATAGCCTGGAATACTACCGGTGGCCCAGGACCTGCCTCTATTTGCTTCTTTCTGTTTTTTTACATGGGTGGCAGAATTGACACCATCAACATCCTTTGCTTTGACATAGCAAACATTTCTCCTGGATTCTGGGTTATGGCCCAGGATCTTCTGTCTGTAGGTTTGTAGATCGTATGAGTTAAAGTCCAGAAATAAGAGAATGTAAGGCTTACTTGCTTGAATAGAGCATGCGTGGATCTCTGCTGCTACAAACATGATGTGATTCTGTATGAACAGAGTCGATATCTCTGTTACTCCTCCAACCAACTCCTCCTGTTTTCCAGTTCTTTTGACCTTTTAGTCTAGTTTTTCATGATTTGTCTCATATTCCCACTGAATGGTTAGAAAGGGGCAGATGATAAAATGCTCAGAAATAAATATAACAGATATGCAAGACTTAATGTAAGGAATAGTATAAAACTTGGCAGGGAAATAGAAAAGAAGACTTGAGCAAATGGAGAGACACAACCTTGATTCTGGACATGGAGTCTAAAAATTATAAATGTATCATTTCTCTCCAAATTAATTTATGTTTAATACAAGTTCAATTAAAATCTTTAGAAGTTTTGTTATCTGACAATATTTCCATTTAAGTTACTCTCAGTTAATCTAGAAGGATAAACGTCAGAGTAACTTAAAAACTTAGGGATAAAGGATAATGAAGAGGAACATGCACTGCTATTTACTAAAGCATATTATGAGGTTACAAAAGTTAGTGGTATAGGACTGGGGTAAGGATAAATAACAACAAAAAAAAGAAACAAAGCTGAGGCCTGGGAGCCATCATCCAACCTGCATATTTCACAGTGAGGAAACCAAGACCTAGGAGGCTGTTTAGCTTTGAATCCTGGTTCTATCTCCCTCTACTTGATTCTGGGAAAGCTATTTTATCTCCCTGAAACTGAATTTCTTTCTTAAAAAAAAAGAAAAAAATAGGATGGTGATAGCTACCTCCTGAATTTATTAAGAGTTACATTAAACAGCATATGGAGCCAGTAAGGGCCCAATATTATTAATTTCTTTTCCCATTTGCTAGGACCACAAAAATTGTGGCTCAGGTAAGATTTAAACTTAGTCTCTGACTCCCTTTGTCGAGCTCTCTTCTCTTAGAAATTTCTTTAATGATCTGTCTTGGCTTAATCCCTCCCCCCCCTACACAAACCAGATTACTAAAAATAATAGATTATCTACTTTAATAGATTTCTCCAGCTTCTTCCCTATTTCTTTCCATCCTTGGTTAACTCTGACTTAATCAGTTAGTTCTAAAAGCGGAGACAGATAAAACCCTGGAACTTCATTTGAAAACACTAAGAGCCACTTGTCCTGTTAAATGTTAATTGTATTTTAGCAGACCTAGGCATTTTTTTCTAAGCAAAAGCAAGCATTTTTGCCTCAAATAGAGGAATCTGCAAATGCCCATCCAGCCATTCTTTATTAGTTTTGGTTAGAAGGAAATCCACAACAAATTTCAGCAAGCTTTAACAAATTATTTTCACTATCTGTGTTTTCTACATCCACTTCCAGGATCCCCAGTTTTTTCCCCCCCGAAGCTGCCTAACAACAAATGAATCAATTCCAGTCACAAGGTGAATGCAGAATCTTTGATGCACTCCAAGAAAATATTTCTATGTGCAATTTTTGTAGCTAGGGTAAAATCCTTTCTGGTTTTGCAAAATCCCCAGTGTTTGGCACACAGGCAAATTACAGTGATCTGAAACGAATGCTTGAAAAACAGTAACAGTTGAGCTTCGTCTCTTCTGCTTGGCTGGATGTATAGTAACAAGCCTACCAGGTGGGTGTCCTACCAGGTGGGTGTGGTTGATCTTTTTCCAGTCTCTAGTCATCGACAGAAGGGACTTTGGGGATTATGTAGGGCCAGATAAACTCCCAGGTACCTGCCAGTTCTAACAGAATTTGCATTACAATCTGTGAATGGAGATTGGAGAAGATGAACAATGCCTTTTCATTTGTGTGGATTTACTGGTTTGTTGCTACCCTAATGTTACTGTTTTCCAAACATGAAGGGCTTCTCAAGAAGAGATAGTATCTCAGAGATTAGCCATTTATTAGCCATTAGCAGAAAATCTCATACCTATCCTGTCATTACAGTTATGTGTGACTTTTTAGAGAATCATTTGATTATTTGGAATGTTTCATGTTGACATCGTACCATCTGACTGGGTAATTACAGAATGATCTTTGTGTCTGATCTTTGTGTCTCTCTTGTAGTTGTGCATCTAGAAATGTTTCAAGAACTCAGGCTGAAGTGTGCATCCCAAGTTAAAGGGATAATGATTACCAAATAGTTATTTTCCTTTTAATCTTCATCCATGGGGAGACATAGAAGGAAGTGTCTGCCTTAAGCATCACCATGGAACAGCAAGTTTTTTGGCATGCATGTACACCTGTTTATGTCTAATGGTTTGTTCAGGTTCAGAGTTAATACTTTAATGTTTTCCCAAAACGTATATCTGACTGCCTTTTCCCTAGATCTCTTTATTCTTTTGATATATAGTTTATCACCTTTTCATAAAAATAATACCCAAAGAAACAAATCACCAGAGCTGACACTTTCCTCCTTAGTGGGAGAAGAATCTTGTCTCAGATAATTGCACATCTGTCTCATCCTTCTTAAGGGCCACCGCCTCCACAGCTGCCTGAGCCCTGGCCCCCCGAATGGTGCGACCCACCAGAAAGGCTTCCTCAAGTACTCAGTTTGCTCCTCTGTGAGGACCCCTAGTTTTCCTCTTCTGCAGGCACAGAATATTAGGGTTGTCACTGACTTTTCACACTTTTTCTGTCACCTGGGTTTACCTAACCCTGCTCTCCTAAACCATGATCCAGTTTTTTCCTCACTGCTGATCCAAATCCTGTTCTTGCTCATTCCAGTTAATTCTATGTGATTCTCTATCTTTGAATTCCCTTACCTCTTGTCTGTAGTGTGAAGATGCTGCCTTAAGATGATCTCTTTTGTTTTATATGTATCTTCTGTGTTGGATTTAAAAGATCAAGATTTCAATATTTTTTCATGTGAAACCCCTGTTGAACCCTTACCTTTGGCAAGTCACTTACTCCTTCCTTCCCTCACTTCTAAATGGGGACAGTATTTACCTTAGCCTATTTTTAAGGGTATTATGAAGATCAAATAACCAAACATACGTAAAGAGTCTTTATAAATTGTGAGAGGCTACATTCATGGCATTTGAGCTACATTCAAAGTTACACAAGTTTGCACATTGAAAAAAACTATGTCAAAGTGAAAACTTAATTTCTACATAACCATGGGAATCTCCCTACTACCTTATATAAAGTAGCTCAAGTTTTATGTTTATGATCTTCCATATGATAAATTATGCAACTAAAACTGAAAAGCCAGGTCAGTTATTTGGCTATATGTAAATATAATTTATATTTAGAATCATATTTCTCAGTAAAGATTCTACAGTGAAGATTTGTAACATTTTAGTTAGAAATTATATGTATAAATATATATACACACACACCAAAAAATACCTAGAAGACATATTAACATGTTAACAGGAGGTTGTGAATAATTTCAATTTGCCTCTTTTCACTTTTCTCTATTTCTGAACTTCTTTACAGTGAACCTGTACTAGTGCTATAATTTGACAAGAAATTAAACGAAAATTGATTCATCAATTTTATTCCAGTTCTGAGAACACTGACATTTTATATTAAAAGAACATTGAACATTTAGCAAATTTTTGGAATTTTGAAACTTTGAAAGTTTAAAAAGTATTGTTACAAGTTTTTTTTTTAATACTGCTAATAGTTAAAATGTTTTGCAATTCTCTGCTGTCACAGCAAAACAAGTTAAATTATGTGTATTTAGTTTACCTATAGAAAATTATATAAAATATTGAAACATTAACAAATAAATAACAACAATGAGATGCATCAGAATACTCTATTTTTTGATATATTTGTTTAATCACTTATTTTCTAGTTTTGGACACTATGTGGAAATGCCCTAACTGCAAAAAGAGGGATATTTGGCAAAACAGGGGATCTTCAGACCATCCTATGCCTTGCATGTGCCAAAGAAGACATCACCTACTCTGGTGCTTTAAATGGCGACATCTACGTCTGGAAAGGGCTCAACTTAGTCCGCACTATTCAAGGAGCACATAGTGTAAGTATTTCTGCCAAGGAATTTGGGAATGACTTATTAAATAAGTTAAAGTCACAAATCTCTATTTTCTACTGGTGCTTTAGGATCTGCCAGTTCTGCTGAACACTCACTAAACATTCATGGAAGATTTCCCAAATTATTTTTGTTCACCCAGAAGAAATTAATATTTCAAAAGCATAACAACTTAATTAACCTTTGCCTCAGTGATCGATTAGCTGATTAGTGTTGTGCATCAGCTGCAGCTTGACTAAAGACTAGAAGTATTTCGTTGTCAGTTTTGTCTTCTAGACCAGCACTTTTCAAACTTTAGTGTGCTTACGAGTCTCCTGGAGATGTTGTCAAAGTGCAGTTGGTCAGTGGGTCCGGGATGATGTCACTCCTGCTGGCCTGAGGCCCGTATATTGAGTAGAGCCAAGAGTGGAGACAACTGTTATTTATATAATTGTTAGTAAGGTAGACTTTGCTTGCTCTGAGGTCACCTCCATGTCCACATCACAGGCTCTAAAATGCAAACAGAAGCCATTGATAAACTCTTTTGAGGGTCTGCTCTGTAAGAACATGCCCAGAACAATGGGGAGATGATGTGAAAGGTAAAGCCTGTTGTAATAAATGGAAATTTGGTAAAACATTACCAGAAACTCAACAGACGTTTAGCTTCTTGCCTCCAGATTGATCCCCTATTGCTCTGAATATGAAAAAAGGCTTAAGCAGCTCTCAGCAAAAGAGCTGTGAAATTTTAGATCTTTCATTGTCTTGTACATTGAAGACCAGTTTTCTTGGCTTCACTAATTATGAAACATCTCTTGAAATAATTAAGAAGGTCAATATTGGCCTTCATTCATAAAAGCAGCTGCGTTAGTGAGCTAATTTATCTTCACGCTGGATCTTCTTCAGCAGTGTGCTCTTGGAGCACGCTTTGTGGAAAAGTGTCTTTAAGTTAGGAAGCTATTTCAGATGTGCAGAAGCATCTTCAAATGATGCTTAACAAGCTGACACAAGTGTGACTTACACTGTCATTTAGGCTTCCTGAATTTTTCCCCCCACAACCTATTGTCATTTTAAGGAGCTGTTGAACTAATTTGCTTTGGTGATTATTATAAATGTTTTAATCTAGCTAAAATGGATATGACAAATGGCTACTTGTTCTATTGCCAGCATTTGAATAGAGAACAAGGAATTGTTTTATTTTTGTTCTGTTTTTACTTTGTTTTGAATTTTAATTTTCAAATCCAGCTACAGTGACTGTTTAGAATGATTGCAGCGCTGAGTATTACCTGCCTTAATCTCAACAGGCTGGAATCTTCAGCATGTATGCTTGCGAAGAAGGCTTTGCCACTGGTGGACGAGATGGGTGTATACGATTATGGGATACTGACTTCAAACCAATAACTAAAATTGATCTCAGGGAGACAGAACAAGGATATAAAGGTAATACATGTATTATTTTATTATATATTTTTGTTGAAGCATAGTCATTGTATAATGTGTCAATGTCTGGTTTGCAGCTCAATAGCTCAGTCATATAGGAACATATATTCATTTTCATTCTCTTTCACCATGAGTTACTACAAGATATTGAATATAGTTCCCTGTACTATACAGTATGTATATCTATTTTTTATATATTAGTTAGTATCTGCAAATCTCATGTAATATGTACCCATAACTCTTAAAAGTGGTAAATATAGTGGGGAAGTCTGTATTTGTATGTTTCTCTTACCCCATCTTACTCCGTAAAAGGTTTAAGGCAGTTTACATAAATAAAAGGAATACAAGGTGAAAAGTATGTAAAAATAAATGGCTACCCCTTTTCCTAATTTTCATAGAGGTATCTGTATGTACTAGCAGTGGCCCTGCTGCAAAGATACATGGGATTTGCGGAGAGGATTAAAAGTAATTAAAGGGTTTTCTGGTCCAGCTTCCCCTTCAACCAGCCAATACCATACCCTTAGTCCTCTGAGCATTTGCAGAGTGTGTGTTAAGGGACAGTAAAAGAAAGAGTGGGAAAAGGATGAAACTGGAGGAAGAAGGCAGTGGGCAGACGTTTGGGTGTCCTTTGTCCCACCCCATCCTGCCTGACCCTGCCCTCACCCTGCAGAAGTCTTGACTTTTCCTCTGCTTTCAAGCTCTGCCCCCAAATAGAAACAAAGTGCATTTGAAAGGAGCAGATTCAAGCAGAACAGTGTTAGGACTGGTTTGCACTCAATTTGGACATGAAGCTACAATGTTGGATGGTTTTATTCTTGTAAGAACTTTTTGATATGAATGAGCCGCCTTCCGTATTTTCACTGCCTGTATACCAGTGACTCTTGGATTCATTTCTGTAGAAATATAGTGATTTCTCCTTTTACTCAACCAGCTTTTAAAATAAATTTAGCAAGAGAATTAATCATGGCCATGTCCCAGATCCTGTGACGTAGAACTGATATTCTGTTTTCCTTAAATTTATAACTTTATTAGTAAAAATTCAGAAACTGTGACTTACTAACTTGAGAATCTGAATCTGTAACAATCACACTTACTTAGTATGCTACCTGTAAAAACTTCTACTGCCCCTCCTGTAGACTTGCAAAGGATCTACAGAATGAATTTGGCAATTTCCAAGTTGTTTTATATAAATATTCATAAGATTTACATATATCTGCATCTTCTGATAAATATTAATTGCTGAATAGTTTTTAGATTAACTAAGATGAACACTAAAATCAGGGGAAAAACCCAGTATTTCAGATATATTGTAGAGAGATGTTATTAATCAGTTTTCTTACATCTTTATAGTCAAACTCGAGCTAAGTAAGACATTTGACTTCCAGTGAAAACAATTAACCCTACTTTAAGTTGAGGGTGAACCAGCTTGTAGACAGGTCATTCTCACATCAACAAGAATCTGTAGGGCCAGAGCTGATTCTCAGGGCTCCCTGGCCTCTCTCCCCAGGTCTTAGTCAAAGAAAATGGACTTAATGAGCCAGGAGGACCATTCCTCAATCAATAGAATAGTAGTATTTTATTTACGCCAGTGACAAGCAACTTTTGTGAGTGACTAGATGTTTGCTGACTAGTAAGTCTGCTAACCATTTGTCGGTAACAACGTATGATATAAACCAACAGCCTAATTTGTCCAGGATCCCCTCTGCAGTTCTGAAGTCAAAACACTCAGAATGCCCCCCACACACACACACATATGCACGTACACATTTATGAGAGCAACCAACTTTTTAAAAATGTGGTAAAAAATACATAATAAAATTTGTCACCTTAACCATTTTTAAGTGAACATATCAGTGGCATTAAGTGCAGTCACATTGTTGTGCAGCCATCACAGCCTTCCATATACAGAACATTTTTCATCTTTCCAAACTGAAGCATCATACCCATTAAACAATAACTTCCCCTTTCCTCCCGACCTCAGGCAGCCACCACTCTACTTTCTGTCTCTATAAATTTGCCTATTCCAGGTTCCTCATAGAAGTGGAATTATGTAGTATTTGCTCTTTCGTGACTGGCTTACTTCTCTCCCTATAAGTCATCAAGGTTCATGTTGGAGCATGTGTCAGAATTTCCTTTCTTTTTAGGGCTAAATAGTATTTCATTGTATACCTCATTTTGTTTATCCATTCATCTGTTGATGGATACTTGGCTTGCTGTTGTGAATAGTGCTGCAGTCAACCTGGGTGTGCAACTATCTCTTTGAGACTCTGCTTTCAGTTCCTTGGAATATATATCTAGAAGTGGAATTATTGGATCATATGATTTTTCTATTTTTAATCTTTTTGAGGAACTGTCATACTGTTTTCCATACCAGCTGTACCATTTTATATTCCTACTAGCACAGCACAAGTGTTCAAATTTCTCCACATCCTCGCCAATACTTACTTTCCGCTTTTTTGATGATAGCCATTCTGATAGGTGTGAAGTGGTATCTCATTGTGGTTTTGATTTGCATTTCCCTAATGATTATTGACTTTGAGCATCTTTCATAAGCTTGTTGGCCATTTGTGTATCATCTTTGGAAAAATTTCTGTTCAAGTCCTTTGCCCATGTTTAAATCAGATTTTTTGTTTTATTGCCAAGTTGTAAAAGTTTTTTATATATCTTGCATATTAACTTCTTATCACATGTATGATTTGTAAATATTTTCTCCCACTACATAGGTTGCCTTCTCACTCTGTTGATTACATCCGGTGATGTACAAAAGTTTTTAACTTTGATGTAATCCAATTTATCTATTTTCCCTTTTGTTATCTGTGCTTTCGGTGTCATAACAAGAAAAGATTGCCAAATGCAATTTCATGAAGATTTCCCCTTATATTTTCTTATAAATATTTTATGGTTTTAGCTCATATGTTTAGGTCTTTGATCCATTTTTGAGGTGATTTTTACATATGTTGTAAGGTAAGGGTCCAACTTCTTTTTTTCCCCAGAATACTTTTATAACTAATTTGGCAGCAAAACCTGACTTAAACTTATATGAGGCTGTTTATTGTCTTCATATGTGTGACTGTTCATATACTTCACTGCAGAAATACTTGATTTCACAATTCTGCCCCAGACTCCATTGGATCTATTACACGAATTCAAGATCCAAAATTTTCTGAAGTCCAAAATGTACCTACCCCAGAGAATTTTAGATATGTGGGATGGTAGACATCCGATACATTTTTCAGAGAATATCAAATTCTGGAATTTTCTTTTCTTTTTTTTTAACTAATGTGTTGTCAGTTTATAATGTTGTCTTAATTTCTGGTATACAACATAGTGATTCAGTTATACATATATATGTATATATTACTTTTACTATTCTTTTTCATTATAGGCTATTACAAGGTATTGAATATAGTTCCCTGTGCTATACAGTAGAACCTTGCAATTTTATATATTGTAGTTAGTATCTACAAATCCTGAACTCCCAATTTTTCCTGTCTGGTAACCACCACTTTATTTTCTATGTCTGTGAGTCTGTTTCTGTTTTGTAAATAAGTTCATTTGTGTCAGTTTTTGAGATTCCACATGTAAGTGTTATTATATGGTATTTTTCTTTCTCTTTCTGGCTTACTTTGTATGACAGTCTCCAGGTCCATCCATGTTTCTGCAAATGGCATTATTTTATTCTTTTTTAT